GCGTCAGCAAATTGTTGAGATTTTTTAATAAATTCATTTGAAACTTTTAGGAGTCGTCGAGAGGAACGACGCACTCGAGAGTCGCATCCTATTCCGTTTGTTCGTGAGACAATACCTCGGTCATCCATGAAACGACGACCACAGTCTGAACCAAGAGCACCACAACGAAGAGCGCATCCAATCGAAGTACACAGGAGTCGAAGTTGGCTGTTTTCGTTGAAAATAAATTATGAAAACAACTTGAATATGCGATAACGAAACTCCAATGTTGCTCTTTTTCATTTTTGGCAGTTCAGCTCAACTGACATTAGAAAGCAGCAACGAGTTGACATTAGAAAGCACTTAATCGAGTTCTAAAAAACGCTAGCTTTTCGACTTTCCAACTCGAACCTAATGATCAAATTCGATTAGTGCCTCGAAAGATACGCTCTTTTCTCTGTTGCATTAAAAACCTTTCGTGAGAGATGATTCAGGTCCGATGCGTACGTTACCACCGCTGCAAAGAGGCTTAACATCCGAACGACTTCGAGCGCACGATAAAGCTTTACAGAAGCTCTACGATAGACCGACTGCGGCCGTATTAACTAAAGGATTACCTAGAGTAATGGTCTGAATGACTTGTATTATACTGTTCTACAGCTACGCTGTCAACTGTTATTCACAAAACAATTCTTATAATTTAAGACTGAAACTTCAGTCTTCTAATGTGGCACTCTAATGGCTGTTCAGTGCCACTTGAGTCAGTGACATCGTGGGCAACGATTGTCCACATAATAACCGAGCTTCGACAATCTTGGCGTTCTGTATCAAGAGATACCAAACTCGTTATGGAGAACTCATACTACTGCCTATTCAATGTCATTCGTATTTGATCATTATTTGTGTGGTTAGGTGACAGACCTGTTGTTACTCTAGTTTCTTCCATATCAGAGAATGTATTGGCATGTTGATGAAGTAGTTTAGCGGAAAGTGAGGCAGCCTTTGCATTTACTGTGCTCCAGAATCTGCGTGTTGATTGCTGTTTTCAACAATGAATATTGTTCCTTTGAGGTGGAAAAATGAAAGATCCTTCCATGGACCCATGTTGCGGTCTTCAAACGTCTGGTGGATAAAGCATATTGAGCTGATTATGTTAGCACAACAAATAAGCAAACAGACAACAGGTCTGGGATCAATGTAAATATTATTTACAAATTTGTATTGTTTGCTTGGTTTACGCATGCAGGTTATCTTTTTAGTATCTGATGTGAGTCAGTTGGCATTAAACATGAACTGAAACATGTCTTTCTTGAAGAACATATTCAGATAATATCTTTGGTGGCTCAATATTTGAGGATAGTTATGAGAGTCATGTGTAAACCAATTTTTGAATGTATTTTGTTGTTCATATTGTGATTTACAAAAATTTGTGTGCTCATTTAAAGCAGATAGAAACAAGCTGTTTTGATTGTGAGTATTTTGTCGATTGATAATGAAAAATAAACATTGATGTTTTTTTTTTGAGACGACACTCATTATTCAGTGATAAACAGTGAACTGTATGGGTCCTAAATGAGGAAAGTAGATTTTTTGCAAAAATTTCTCTGAAGATATTCGCTTCAGATAATGATACCGTTCCATTCACGATTGAAGATAACTGCCAAAAAGGAGGATAAAAACTTGCTGGTTGGAAGTTGGCAAACTCACCAATGAATGAAAAGAAACAAGCAATTTTATTAGCGACCATTCCATACGCTATTAAAAATCAGGAATAATTTTGTAATAAATCAGCATTCGTGATGATTCGCACAAAATCATAAGACTAGCGGCATCATTATATGTTTGGAAATGTTCATTTGCACGCAAGTAAGTTTTTTTGCGGCTTTTCAGCGGTGTAGATGAGCACCATCGAAAAAATCAAAATGCCATCAACTCATCCTAAATGAACCTTTCACAAAGGCAGAAATCAGATTTCCATTCAGTTTTTCGATGCAATATCGCGTCTTATTGCAGATGTGAACAAAACGGCGTGCGACCGTCGCACATTGAAATTTCATGAAGTAATCTGATTATGCATTAATTTATTGCATTCTCATGCATGAAGCACAACGTGCCATTTTGCTCATCGACTGAAATACGCATTTCATTCGTTCAGGATCGCGTTTCAAACAATTTTCATTCGTCTAAACTAGTGATGTTTCTGTACCAGTTAAAATGTTCTATTCCATGGAACGGGATAGAACGGTTCTCAAAAAAGCGCGTAACAAAATAGAATTGAACAGAGCAGCGGAGAGACGGAATAGAACAACAGAGAGCATTTTGTCAAAAGTGTGGAATAGAAACATCACTAGTCTAAACGTATTTGTCAGCGAAAGTACTTCTGTTCGATGAATTCTCATTGATCCCTTCTTCTCAACTGTAACGTTGAACACA